AAAGATGAAATCATTGGAAATGGTGTGATGGGTAATCGGAAAAGTGAATTTGAATAAGAAAATATGTCTCAAACGCGGATAGTTCCAGTTAAAAAAAGAAAGGTAAGATATACTGACTTGTCGCAAAGTGTTAATATTATGAAAAATGACAATCCTAGAGAGGTATAAAAAGAAATATATTGTAGAAAATGTATTAATTAGCGAAATATAAAATGAAATAAAAATAGTCACAAAAACAGAAGAAATAAAGGAGAAAATTATTAGTCAAGAAATTATAAGGAACTGGATAATGGAAAGAAAGATATACCAGTGTTACAGAATTTACCGGCGAAATTTGTAAGAAAAAAAGAGGAAAAGGAGATTAATGGAGGGGAAGGAAAGGAACAATTGTCGAGTTTGGAAAATTGGAAGCTTGCAGTGGCAGTTTTAATGAATAGTTATAGTGAAATTTTTGAGGAGAAATTAGGATGTTTAGTGGATTATGAAGTTGATATCCGTTTAAAGGAAGGTTTTGTACCGCAGTATTGTCCGGTGCGAAGAGTTCCATTTGAATGGAGGGCGGAAATGGAAAAAGAGTTGGACAATTGGGTGAGAGATGGAATTATTTGTCCTATTGGTTACAGTGAATTGGCAACTCCGTTGGTTCCTGTTAGAAAGGCCAATGGAAAATTGAGGTTATGTGCAGATTTTAGGGTAACCTTGAATCCTTGGGTAGTAGAGGTGAAATATCCGTTACCGCGAATAGAAGAAATTTTGGCCAGTTTGAAAGGGGGAAAATATTTTTCCAAGATTGATTTTTCGTGTGCATATTTGCAATTACCGATGGCAAGAACGACTAGGAAGTTGTTGACGATTACGACATTCAAGGGATTGTTTACGTTTTGTCGATTACCATTTGGGTTAAGTGTATCAGCCCCTATTTTTCAACGGACAATGGCTGCTGTTTTCCAAGGTTTAGAGGGTGTTTTTTATTATATGGATGATGTTTTGGTTGTAGGAATAACGATGAAACAACATGATGATAGGCTAGAAGAAGTATTTATTAGAATTTGAAATAAAGGATTAAAGGCGAGTCGTGAAAAGAGTGTGTTGGGAGTAACTGAAGTAACGTATTTGGGTCATAGGATAATGGAATGGAGGTAAAACCGTTAGATAAGAATTTGTTGAGTATTGCGAATTTGAATAGGCCGACCAGTAGAGGTCCAGCCGTTTATAGGAATGGTAAATTATTACCATCGGTTTATATCGAGTTTTGCAGAAATAGCTGCGCCTTTATATGAATTATTAAGGAATGGGTACATTTTGAATGGAAAGATGAACAAGAGATTGCGTTCAGGACGTTAAAGGAGAGAATTGGGAAAGAGCCCATTCTAGTGTGTTTTAATAGTGATCTGGAAGTAGTTTTGGCTGTAGATGCATGTAATAAAGGAGTTGGTGGGGCGATGTTGCATTTGATAGATGGAATGGAAAGATCTGTTTTATTTTTCTCGAGAGTGTTTCGAGAGGTAGAAAAGCGGTATTCAGTGATAGAACAAGAGGCTTTAGCTGTGATTTTTGGATTAACGAAATGTCGCGAATACCTTATAGGTAGGAAGTTTGTTGTTTTTACAAATCATAAGCCGTTGATCCATTTATTCAAGAAAGATAACAAAGAGTTGATGTTATCGCCTCGACTTCAGCGATGGTTATTGTTAGTAGGAAGTTTTGATTTGGATTTAAAATATCGAAGGGGAAAAGAGAACCAGTTACCTGATATTTTGTCAAGGTTAGGTGCTGGCGAAAGTTTGGATGAATCGGTGATTTTGAAAATTGAAAATAGGCAAGAGTGTCTTGTACGTACGATAATGAGAAGTATAAAGGGTAGCCCAACGACATGGGAACATATACAAAGGTTTACAAGGAAAGATAGAGAATTAGCGGTAGTTAAATTATGTCTAATGGGAAAAAGATCATGGAAAGATGATGATAAAGTTTTCAAAAATATTGAAACAGAATTAACTATAGTGGACGATTGTATTATGAGGGGAACCCGAGCTGTTATACCCCGGAAATTGAGGGAGAAAATTTTGAATGTTATACATACGGGTCATCAAGGAGTTATTCGTATGAAACAATGGGGAAGAGAGTACGTATGGTGGCCGAAAATGAACGAGGATATTGATAAATTGGGAAAAGAATGTGAGATTTGTAATGCATGGTCTGACATGCCCCGTAAGGATAAAAATAGTACATGGCCAAAAGTTGTAGAACCAGGAGAGAGGGTTCATGTTGATTTTTTCGAATATGAAGGAAAAAAGTATATATTAAGTGTAGATGCATGGATAGAATTTGAAGAAATTCATGGCTTAACGGCGAATATTGTGATGAAACATTTTAAAAAAGTATGGTCGAAGTTTGGTATTCCGAAAACTGTAGTATCGAATGATGGACCGGCTTTTATCGGGGAAGAATTCAAGAGATTCTGTGAAAAGACGGGTGTATATCATGTGTTAACGCCACCGTATCATCCCAGTTCCAATGGGCAGGCGGAACGGATGGTAGCGACAGTTAAAGGATGGTTGAAGAAAACCAAAAGTGGAAAAGGAGAAATGTGAATGAAGCATTTGTATTATAATAATGCGATGGGTAATGATGGTTTGTCTCCAGCAGAAAAAATGATAGGCCGGAAGGTAAGAATGTTTTTGGATATGTTAGTATCTTGTAAAACGAATGTTATTGTGGAGGATATTGATAGAAGGGAATTGGAATATACTGTAGGACAGTTAGTATGGATTAGATTATATGGAAGTACTAAAAAATGGGAGAAAGGTGTAGTAATAGAAAATTTGGGAAACAAATTAAATAAGGTAAAATTTGATGATAATAGTGAAGGTGTCAGGCACAGGGATCAATTACGGAAGAGAGTGCATAGAAATGGTTGAAAGAGGAAATTGTAAAAAAAAAGAAAATATGTAAGGATAGTTCCTGGTTAATAAAGATGTAGATTTCAATGGTTTCAGACAAGTTATGACGGATACTACAAAAATCGCCTAAAAGAAAGGAGGATGGCAACGTTAGAATCGACCTTCTAAAAACAATACTGGGATGATTATCAAGATCTGATCGAGTGTATGAAGTGATAAAGAAGAAATACAGGCATAAAATATTGTTTAAACAAAAAATTATGGGAATCATTTATTGAATGCTTATACGCTGATGTATTTTAAAATGGTGTTAACGATATATTATATTTTAATATGAAAAAGAAATGAGGTCAAAGATATTTTTGTATTTTATTTAAAAAAAATAATAATAATGTTTTTTACGCTTCGAAGATTGTTAATTAAAAAGAAATGTTATTATATATTTATTAGTTAATTTTTTTCGTGTAAAAAAGAGGATTTTTTTTATAAGAATTATATAAATAAAATTTTCATCTAATAAGTTATAAGAGTCTACAAAACTTATATAATAAGCAAAATAACTGCTGACCAAACTTAAGAGTGGGTGAGAAGCTGGTCATCATATATCATGGCCATATTCTATTAGGATATAGTATACCTGGTAGATAGTGTATCACCAAGGTTACAGAAATCCTCTCTAGATCTGGAAGAAGAATCTGCCCCAATAGATATAAATGATATTTTTAATGAAATGACTGGGGAGATAAATGAATGTAAAATATGGCATTTTAATTAGTAATATATTTATTATTTAATTGATCTCATTGATAGTGAGAATATATTAGATGATATAATTATTCCCAAAGATTCCGCAGCACTAAAGCTAAGTGCGGTAATTAATAACTAAAAATATATATTATTTATATAGAATCTATGTCCTCTGTTGGATTACCTAGTTCATATTATAAATGTCATAAGAGAAAGAATAATGACATAGGTAATTTATATTATTTGATTTATTGAAAAATTTTAAATAGATGAATTAAAGGCACTAATAAAATTAGAACAAGATAAAACAATACTAAGCATAGACATGCTTAAAAATAAAACAAATGAATATGGAATATGTCTTATTTTGAAAGAAAAAATAGATGAATGAAACAGGGAAAAAAGAATTAACGAATAGAATATATGATGTTATAAAAAATCTTAATTGAATAAAATTATTTTATATATATTTATGTTGTATGAAATAGATATTTTGTATGTATTTATATTATTTGAAATAGATATTTAATTAAGAGGGTTTAATCTCCTCCTCTTCAATATCATTTTGTATAAGAATAATAATTTGACGGATCCCATTTTGTGAATTAATAAAATGGCTCACTATAAATGGAAATCGCTGCGATCGATTCAGCTGATCGGTCGCTGCGATATCGCGGCTAAATCGCAATCGCTCTTCACTATGAATTCAGGGTAAACTATCCACGATTCTGTGATGTTTTTAAGATCTTGAAGTTATTCAAGAATAAGCCATAAGCCTTATTGCAATCCATTCTTGCTGGGTCAGAAAGAATATGGTCCGCTTTCGAAAAAGTGCAGTCTAAGGACAAGTTCGAAAATCATTTAATCTGAGCAAATATTATTTAAATGGACAAAAATATTGCAGCACCATTATATAATATAGAGATAATTATCCAGCTTCGAATGCCATTCTACTATACTATTTCAATTACCATTGAAATTGATACTGAATAAATTAATTTTGCTTTATCAATTTTTGATATTAATGTAATATTTAACAATAAATAGTTACTAAATCATTGCCTTCTTATGATAATATAAATATGTAATATTTAACAATAAATAGTTACTAAATCATTGCCTTCTTATGATAATATAAATATGTTTTATTTTTTAAATCATTTCTCATTTTACCAGGAAATTTCCCCAAATTTTATTTTCCTGCAAAGTTTCCACCTCCAGTTCGGCCTGTCAGTTAAAAAAATTCAAACTTGAACCAGGATATAAAAAAACTTACCACATCATGATTTAAATGAGATGAGCCTCACATGTAAATTATTATATGTTTCATGGAAAAATAAATACAATTACATCTGTAGTGTGTGCGCTATCAAGACTGTTTTCCGACTGGCTAGAACTCTGATTTGAGGCGTTATCCCTGCTTTCACGTTTCTTGGTCATTTTCTTTAAAAAATTTAAAAAATAAAAAGCTAACCTCAACTACTTAAATGGAGTTGGCAAAAAATACAATATTTTATAAAAAATCGATTTATTTGATTAAATCATGATTTTTTTTATTCAAATCAAATTTAATAATATCAAAATAATTTTAAAAAATACCCTAGATGAAATATACCTTCTGAGGTAAAATTATTAATCAACCATGCATTCATTTTATATATTAAAAATCTGTTTTTCATCTGGAATTTAAGCAATAATGAATTGACTAAAAAAATTTATCATGTAATAATTTTTAAATACATATTCATAAAAAAATTATCTAATAATAATGTTTGAATATTTTATTTTAATCAACATTTATATAAGTTGCTTTTGAAATCCTAATATCAACAAATTTTGAATCGATATAAAGACGGCCAATTAATCACAGTTTTTATAAAGTAAGAAATTGGTAATAAAATTAATCAAAGTAAATACTATTTTAATTAAATGGGTAGTAGAAATAATATTCGGTAAATAACTAAAATTTTTCGTCAGTCAATATATGATTCGAACAGTATTCAAAATAAAGAATCCGTTTTTAAATAATTTGGCAGGTATTTTTTTGAACCCTAACCAAAAATTAACTCAATACATATATCCATTTATAATTTATTATTGTCTTTTTCGCAATTATACGCCTCTCATATAGTCTAGTGCTTTGTTTTTTTTCTATGTCTAAACCGGTCCATTCTACAAAAAGAGGCGGACAAACAAAGGCTCCAAATCCAATAAACCTTGAACAAGCTGCCGTCAACGTTTTGACGCCTAACAACTCTCTGAAAATACCAATCAGTAACAGTTCGGAAATCATGTCAATGATGACAGCAATACAAGCGCTTTCGTTACGTGTGGAGAACCTCGCCGGGATGATGGCATAGGGATAGATCTCCGTCAGGCAGCATCATGGATGATAGAAGCGTGACCTCTACCCCGTTCGGAAGAGAAGACGCAAGCACGCACCTCGCCCGCTAACTAACGAAGAGAAGTTCGCCAAGCTCATTAACATCTGGACAGGTCTTAACGCAAACCTCGCGACCCCAGATATAAAGCTAACGTTAGGTATGGACACGAAATTAAGCATATAAAGGAGATGGTAGACCTCCTTAGTGAAAGCTCGGACCCTCGACTGGTGGAGGTAACGACCAAGAGAATCCGGATACAGGCCCTAGCGATCCATTGGAAGTGGCCAACGGCAAGATCCAACGATACGTACCAACAGCAATATCTAGGAGCGGAGAAAATCAAAATCGTTCCAGATACACGGCCCGAGAGGAAGTATGCGCCCGCCATCAGGGGCAAGCAAAGGAAATGACTCAGATAATTCATCGCCTTTGTTCACTTATTCTTCTTCTTCTTCCGCTTTCTATAAACCCACCCACCCCTCATAAACTAAGGCCCTTATTAGGGCCAAATACCCAACAGTCTTCTTCAGGGCTTTAAGCCATGGTACCAGGAAACCATGGTCCAGACTACGACCCACCGGTCCGAATGGGAGAGCCAGTGCAATTCCCAGATTGACTAATTTTTTCGTCCCGGGTCACTAAGGTTTTATCACGGTCCTGATATTATGCCCGTTTTATTGAATGAAATGCATTATTATATATATTATATTAAGTTAAATGTTTATATACAAATTAATTGAAAAAACATAAATCATTTCTTGAAATTATATATATTCTTTAAGTAAAAAATGTTACAAATTCTTGGTTGTGTTTCCGTTATCAAGATAAATAATCAGGATTTAATGCTTAAATGCACAAGTTTAACTAAAAAAAAAGAATTTTTAACTCTTCCATAATCTTTTAACTTTTTTTAAAAAAAATTGATAAATAAAATTTTTCTATTCATTTTTTGTATGTTGTGGATGTTTTTGCTATATTTGTGGATAAATTAAATGATATCCAAATACTATAGAATTTTCTCTTTATAAAGGAAATTTATCAACTAAAATAATATGCCAGATTTCCCTTGTTACATCACTTGACAAATAGTTCATGAATAATACTTTTTGCGTAAGCCTTTGGCAAATAGGAGTCCAAACCTTTTTCCCACCTTACACAATACTTATCTTGGCTAAAATTATAATAGGACCGTTTTTAAAAATCGACCCATTTAACAAAACTATATAGTATCAATGTAACTACAAACCTCTTTACCTTAGTTTAAAAAAAAAGGATTAATACTTAGCAAAATCAGTGTCCACATGAACGGATGATTATAAGAAAGTATCCTAAGTAACTCCTATTCATTTCTTAAACGATTCTTGGAAACTTAATAAACTTGTATTGTTTCCATGCAAATTTGAAAAAGAAAAAAAGAAGGGTGGAAGGGTGAAAATATTAAAAAGGAAAATATTAGAAATTTCACCTTATTGGGTATTGATTTCACTAAAAATAATTTTAAAAATCAATGTTTTTTATATCAGGATACAGTAGAGCATATTTATCTAAAATCATTTATTAAAGACTTATGTTATAATATGATTAAAGCATTTGAAAATCAGAAACGACTGAATTGTGCTTCTCATCTTTTAAATTCAGTAATAAGGAATACTTTGATAATAAAAATATTGATTCTCAAGATTCAGAAATATATATCAATGATTTGTTGATTTGAAAGTTTAGTACTTATATGAAACAGAGTGGATATGTTAAACCAACAATTATATTAATAATAACTGTTGCTACTCAATAAGATATTTGTCCCCAGGGGAGAACATACCCTAAAAAAGCTGTTATTATAGTTAGGAGCAGCACGATTACACCTGAAGATCATACTAAGTAGTTTATTATTAAAATATAGCATTAAATTTTAGGTTAATCAACTTTATAAAATACTCCATTTGTGTATTAAGACTTGATGGAATAGCAGAATAAGGATGATTGAATCGATTTTTAATCAATTCAATGAAAATTGGAGATTCTCAGTTCTAGAAGAGTCGATTAGGCTCAAAAATATAGACCATGAAATGATGAGGGACCCTTTTATTTGTGGCGATGAATAAATACACATTTTTTTTTGATATTATAATATTGAAACTAAAATTGTAAAATTTTATTTGGGCTCGGATAAAAATTTTTTTTTAAATTCTCGAGCTGCGAAAAAATCACTTTGAGCTCTAGATATGCTTACCAATAAATGATTTTGATTTTCTTTTTTTATAATTTTTTATAAAAAGGTAAATTTATCAACCAAAACAACCAATACATTTATCTAGTATTGGTATAAATACATCCTTCGTCCTAAAAAACATTAGGAGGGTGTGACCAGATTCCACTTATTACCAAACATCCTGCAAAAGAAATTTTTTTTAAAAAAACGGAAAAATCAAAATTACAAAAAAAAAGAAAATAAATATAAAAAATAACAATACTACAAAATACTTAAAACAACCAAAATAGGGTATCCTAGTTCAAAAGGAGTTTAGTTTAGCCTTGATTAAACAGACATTAAGTATTAAAATTATCGAACCAGGAAAGACCCTGACTGCTTGGCAAAATTAACAAAATATTGAAACCTTACCATTTAAATTGAGAAAATACTATTAATTAGGTTATGCTTACCAATAAATATGATTTAGATTTTCTTTTGGTAGTGTCCGTCAATCGATTTATGGTATTCCTTGGGTTCTGTATTAAAAAAAATGGAATTTAAATGATTGTAATCTATAAAAATTATTTACTTTTTTGACTCGAATTCCGACTGGGGTAAACATTTTGATTGGATATGACTTTTTTTTAATATTTTCGAATTCCTAAAATATGTATAATGTATATATCATACATTAAATGTAATATATTTTATAATTTGGTATTAGCATTATAAATTATAGTGTGTTTCTATCCCTTATTTGAAGCCACAAATTTTATTTTTTAAAAATGGTAACGGTTTGTTTTATTATAATACAATAGGGCTTGATGACCTTTTAAAAAAATATTTCACAGGAAAATTCAAAAAATGGGAGAAAGGATTAAACATTTATGATTATCAAACCAATAATTTTTTCAGTGATTAAATAGAAAAACCTCTTCGTAAGCATAAATCTGGGTCTCCTTTTCGGCCAATTTTTTCTCGTAGAGTTCGTTCTGAGCTTGCAAACTAAGGACAGAATTTTGCTATATATTTTTAAAAATGAATATTTTAGTATAAAAATAATTAAACAAAACATTTAATGTAAACGATTTTAGGGCCATTTTGAAGATAGCAGGTTCGCATATACTTAATCACTAATGTTTGATTTTTGGAATTAACATTAGAAATGTTATATAATTTATAAATTAAAAAATGGTATGGCATGTTTTGCCATATCTTCTTTTTTCTAAATATGCAAATATTTATGAATTTTTTTTGTGCATAAATTTAAAAATAAATTAGTTTAGGCTATGTCCTAAATATCAAAAAATAGAATCGTGCAATTTGAGCCAAAGTTGTTAATCGGCTTAGCCGAGTCGGCTCAAACAGAGCTGACCCAAATTTTGGGTCGTTTTTTTCGACTCCGACTCAATATTTGGGTCGTTTTTTCGACTTCGACTTCAATTTTGGGTCGTTTTTTTCGACTCGACCCAAGTCCAAGCCGAAAAAAACGACTTCGACCCAAAATATGGGTCGTATTTTTCGACTCCGACTAGAAGTTTGGGCCGTATTTTTCGACTCAGACTCAAAGTTTGATTTGTTTTTGCGACTAAGACTCAAAGTTTGGTTTGTTTTTGCGACTGACTCAAAGTTTGGTTTGTTTTTGCGACTCAGACTCAAAGTTTGGTTTGTTTTTGCGACTAAGACTCAAAGTTTGGCTTGTTTTTGCGACTCAGACTCAAACATCGGATCGCTTTTTACCACTTCAACCAAAGTTGTGGTGGTTTTATTCAATCCGACCCAAAATGGGTCGTTTTTTTAAAAGACGACCTAAGGTTTGGGTTGCTTTTTTTCACCTGACCCATATCTACATTTTTTTCGTCCAAAAGGCTTCTAAGTGTTGACTCCAACTCCAATAAATATATAAATATAAATAATATTTATTAGATATTAATATAAATGGGCGGGAAAAGTTACTTAAAGCTTCTATAAATCTAATCAATGGAGAATGGCAATTGTCATCGTTATTTTTTAAAATTTTTTTGATATAAATTAGTAAAAATATAAATTGTGAACATGTTAAATTAAAATTTCAGTGAAGATCTACCATAGAAAAATGACAATTGTCATAATCTTTATTTTTGTACTTTTTCGAATTTTTTTAAAGCAAATATTTAAAAATATATATTGTAAACATGTTAAATTAAATTTTCAATGAAGATGACCCATAAAAAATGACAATTGTCATAATTGTTATTTTTGAACTTTTTCGAATTTTTTTAAAGCAAATTTGTAAAAATATATTTTGTAAATCTGTTAAATTATAATTTCAGTGAAGATGTACCATAGAAAAGTTACAATTGTCATAATCTTTAATTTTGAACTTTTTCGAATTTTTTTAAAGCAAATATGTAAAAATATATATTGTAAACATGTTAAATTAAATTTTCAATGAAGATGACCCATAAAAAAATGACAATTGTCATAATTGTTATTTTTGAACTTTTTCGAATTTTTTTAAAGCAAATTTGTAAAAATATTTGTTGTAAATCTGTTAAATTAAAATTTCAGTGAAGATGTACCATAGAAAAGTTACAATTGTCATAATCTTTATTTTTGAACTTTTTCGAATTTTTTTAAAGCAAATATGTAAAAATATATATTGTAAACATGTTAAATTAAATTTTCAATGAAGATGACCCATAAAAAAATGACAATTGTCATAATTGTTATTTTTGAATTTTTTTAAAGCAAATTTGTAAAAATATATGTTGTAAATCTGTTAAATTATAATTTCAGTGAAGATGTACCATAGAAAAGTGACAATTGTCATAATCTTTATTTTTGAACTTTTTCGAATTTTTTTAAAGCAAATATGTAAAAATATATATTGTAAACATGTTAAATTAAATTTCCAATGAAGATGACCCATAAAAAAATGTCAATTGTCATAATTGTTATTTTTGAACTTTTTCGAATATTTTTAAAGCAAATTTGTAAAAATATATGTTGTAAATCTGTTAAATTATAATTTCAGTGAAGATGTACCATAGAAAAGTGACAATTGTCATAATCTTTATTTTTGAACTTTTTCGAATTTTTTTAAAGCAAATATGTAAAAATATATATTGTAAACATGTTAAATTAAATTTTCAATGAAGATGACCCATAAAAAAATGACAATTGTCATAATTGTTATTTATAAACTTTTTCGAATTTTTTTAAAGCAAATTTGTAAAAATATATGTTGTAAATCTGTTAAATTAAAATTTCAGTGAAGATGTACCATATAAAAATGGCAATTGTAATCGTTATTTTTGAACCTCTTTGAATTTTTTCAAAGCAATTATGTAAAAATATATATTGTAAACATGTTAAATTATATTTTCAGTGAAGATGACCCATAGAAATGTGACAAATTGTCATAATCATAATTATTATACTTTTTGAATTTAATTATGCTAATAGGTAAAAATATATACTTTGAACATGTTATTTATAATATTTTATATAGATGAAGTAGATTGAGAGTCAAGTGATGACTATTTATATGACAGCATTCACAATTCGGAAAAAGAGAAGGATAATATAGATAGTGATGAGTGTGAAGATAACTATAAATATTTTTACAGTAAAATATGCTAGCTTTTAATAAGTTTTATAAAAATATTAAGGTAAAGATGGCAAAAATAGTTTTTGAGATATAAGCAATTTAAAAATTTTACACATTCCAAAGTGGCTCTTTTTTATACCTATGAAACTGAGCCAAGTCGACTTAATCCTAAACTCAGCCAGTTTTTTAGCCGAAAATTCGACTCAAGCTCAAGCCGGCTGAGTCGAATCAGGTGTTGGTTCAAGCCGGCTAAGGAGTTCGCACAGTTGACTTTTGAGCCGATATTTATTTATTTGTGGTTAGTGTTGTTAAACGGTTGATCCAATCCGGCTTCTTGGATTACTAGTGTTGTTAAACGGCTGAGCCAAGCCCATTTAGCTCTAAAATCAGCCAGTTTTTAAGTCAAAAATTTGACTCAGGCTCAAACCAACTTTTGAGCCGAAATTTATTTCTTTGTGATTAGTGTTAAACGGCAGATCCAATATATAAATAATTTTTAATATTTATTCAAAAAACATGTTTAGTTTGTAAATTGCTTTCCTTTCTATTTTTATCTTAATCATGTTTTATTTTTATCCAATTAATAAATCAACATCATTCATTCATATTTTATCATTTTTATCTGTTACCTATTTTGAAATTATAAAACGTTTACCAACTTTGTTAATATTTATATAAAGTAATTCTAAGAATTAAAAGGGGGATAAATAAGCCAATTCAAAATTACGACAGAAGGCCGGCACTGCTCCAAAAAAACTTTTTAGCAATATGTACAGAATAGTTGCAGAGGTAACATTTGCATGGCTAGAATTTTTAAAAAATATTTATATATAGTCCATAATTTGTATCATCAGGGCCATTTTCTTTTTAAAATTCTTGATTAAATTTTTTTCATTTTTACTTAATTTAATAACCAATTTAAAAAAATAGCCACTATAGTTATCTTTACTTACTTTTTACTTGAAATTTAATTTAATTATTATATTAAAACCTATTAGGCCTAAATAAACCTAAATTTAAATAATATAGCTAACTATTTTAAAATTTTTTTTAATATTTTTAAATAATAACAATTTCTTTTTACTTGTAAATTCTACTAACTTCATTTATAAAATAATAATAAAAAATATAACAATGCAATAAAAAACATAATAATAAATAAAACATTAATCAGACTTTGCCAAAAAAAAACAAAAATTGGTGGGGGAGATATTTGGTAAAATTTTTTACTTTTCAGCAGAATTATGAAAATCGAGTTTGTGAAAAAATGAATTGTTCTTAAACATACCCCTCCTCCCCCTCCTTTTGGATTAAATTTAATAGTTTATTATCAAAAAGAAAGCTCCGTGAAGTTGGCCGAACGTTTGGAAGCATTAACGATGAATCATGTCATTATTTAGTGCTTCAATCCTTATAGTAGCCGAATTTAAGGAAAAAAAATTATGAGCAAAAATAAAAACATGTGCCAACTTCACGCCTAAAAGTCGATTGAAAGCACTAACGATGAAATTTATATCATTCTTTAGTGCTTCATTAGTAAAGATTATATGCTTCAATCAGTTTAGTAGCCGAATTTAAAATAGAAAAGTTATTAACAAAATAAACAAAAAATATATCAGTGACAAACATATTTTCACCATTATTTAGTGCTTAATTAGTATAATTTAAATTTCCGTAAGGTTAAACACCCTATAAAAAGTCACAAGTCATTAAAAAATGTATATTATCCTTTTGCACTTAGCCTATCAATTGTTTCCGAAAATCATCTACCATGAGTAATAAAATGATTCAGAAGCTTATATATATGTCGTATGGAGATTCGGATCTCTTTAAATCCTTTACCGAGGGCGATTTAAAAAAATTTTAAATCCGATTTAACCTGAAATGCATTCTAGCATGTGTAGAGTATTTATTACCCTATAAATTTTAGCCAATTTTGCCACGAACTTTAGAACTATTTCTAATTTATATTAATTTTTATATGGATTTTTTATATAAATTAAAAAATAAGAAAATGTCTGGCTAAAATTGGCTGATATTTATAGTAATAACTCTACACATGCTGGAATTCATTTCCCGTTAAATCCGATTTTTAAATTTTTTCAAGAATTCCGAATCCCCATACGACATATATTTATATATTAAGATGCCCAAAATACATAAAGAATAGCTATAACATAGTCACAAAAGATTATTTCCGACTAATGCCTAATTCATTAAACCCTATTCTTTATTTCTCCAATGCTTTTAGACCCTATATTTACGAGGATATAAAATAGAATTTTTAATATATTTAAAATTACAACATAATCTTAATCATTTTCTTACGCTTTGTCTTAAAGCGACAATATTGAGAATTGTAGATCCCTGCCTGATTTTTCAAGTGTTATCATAATCCGTTGCCGTTTGATTAAGGTTTAGGATCTATCA